CCTGTTGCTAACTTCAGCCCGTGACTAAAGCGTCATAAAGCCACAACTTGTCAATGTGTATTTAAAAGGTCACTTAGTGTCATGGAAACATGTATATATTAAACGTTAATTTTTTTACGGGCTATTTAAATAAAGACATAGAAAATCACGATAGGGGGTCTCTTAATAATAATATTAGGAACTGAAACTTAAACAGCCTTAAAATTTCGTATTTCGATATCTCAATTATTAGATATGGGACCCACACCAAATTTATATGAGTTTATAATGACATTAAATAAACAAGTTATGCGCAAGCAGAATTTAAATTGAAGTTTGCAAAAAAAGATCGAACATGGAACTGACAAAACGGATACAAATTTGAGATTATAATTCGGAATTAAGAATGTTTCTGATATTTTTTATTAGTGGATGCTACTTATCAACAAATCACATGTAGCCTTGTATAAATTTCAATGAAATATATATACGTAAGAAAACTGCTCACCACAGTACTGAAATTTTGACTGGAACTATACGTGCATTCACCAAAACTTCGCCGCTTGCATTGTTTTCAAGATTTTTTACAAACACTTGAGTTAAAACGAGGACTTGTCGTATAAAATTTCTATTATTCGAATCTATGATAAAATATGAAAAATACATTATTTATACATGTTTTATAATTTGTAGTTAAATTAAAAAATTTAAGATAAATTGAATATATTTTAAAATAAAATCATTCAAATATTTGATTCAGGAGTTGTGACACGCCAAGGTACGGATGTTTTGAATATTTATTATGTTTTTCTACAAACGTGCTTTTGAAAAAATACATTAAAATTGGGTGGACAAGTTAAAAAATCTTTTGTAAAATACTAAAATATTTACAAAAAATATTAAAATACCTATTCTATTGACTGATGACATCAAGTTGTCCAACTTTTGTAGAATCACCCATATACAAAAACACACTGTATAATGTAATAATTTTAGACGTCCGTGAGGTTTATTATATCTCATAGAACAATGAAACAGAAGTTGTAAATTCGTACAGACCCATAAAAATAATCCAGCGGACATTAAAGCATCGTAAAATTTCTCCACTCAATGCCAACCGATAGTTAACTAGTTGCAGGCGACCAAACAAAATAAACTCGATGTTGTTTCGCATTCAAAACTACAACATTCATTAAACCGAGGTCTGCATAGCGTGCGCATTAAAATACTATACAGAGGGATTTTATTTAAGTTATGGTTTTTCTCATATACCTAAATTCTTCCACCTTGAAAGTTGGCCGAGGAAGTTAAACGGTGCACCGCCCTGTAAACTTTTAAAATTATACACTTGAACTTTAAACTAAATAAAAACTAAAAAACTAAAGGAAGCATGCAAGAGCTTTGTCACAACCCATCAAATTTTCATTTCAGAAGTGCGCTTAGTATACGAAGAAATAAAAATGTTTAGTTAGACCTTGGACGAATTATTTATAGACATAATGCGCTTTTTGATGCCAAAAATAATTATGCTAAAGAAAGAATCGTATTTTTAACTTTTAACATAAAGTTTACAATAATTGTTCAACACTTACAATCGCAAACTTAAAAAAAATTGACTTAATATTTTTTTATAATAGGTATTCATTACCAAAATAAAAAAAAATTGCAATGAGCTTTGTAGAATTACTTTTTGCATGGTAAAAATGATTTATTTGATTTAATTGTTAATAAAATGTAATCAATGGTATGGTATTAACTTTTCAAAAACTGTTTCTTTTGTTAATTTAGCAAACATTTATTGTCATAAAAAGCTCATAAAACAACAAATTATACGCAAAACATTATTAATATTATATTCAGAAAGCAGTTTCAAAAATGGCGGATGCGCCGGGATATAGCCGCATTCACCATTTTTTTAAATAGAAACTTACATAAAGACCGAAAGGGTATATATTTTCATTCTGCACTAAATTTTACTCCCAAGTGATATTTTTACTTTAATAAAACCACTTTATAACCGTAAATAACTTTTATTTGTCTGGAAAGAGGTATACAAAACTTATAATAATGACTTCAAATAAAAATTAACTAAAAAATAAAACTAATAGTTTTAATAGACGCCATATTAAATTAATAAAGATGTCCAATATTTAATACAAATTTATATAATTATTTTTACAAATATTAAAAAATATATACATGTATGTATCTTAAATAAAGATACGTCAAAATTAACGCATAAAAAACTCTAAAACGCCTTTACCAATCTTTATGAAATTTTGTATAAAAATACTTCAACTTATATCTCAGTTTACGTGTTTTTCGAGAAAATATTTTTAAAGCTCTTTTATTTAATAATTAAAAAAACGTTCGAAAAATAACTAAGGGAATTTCTTTAAGTAAATAAAAAATATGCTGTTAAAGGCTGTATTTTCGTTAGTATACCCTGAAAATTTTGTACAAATCAAACGCACAGTAACGAAAATACAGCGCTTCAATGTCGCTAAAAATTACCCCTTTTTATTATTTTGCTGAAAAGTTTTTTGACGACTTTGAAGCGCTGTATTTTCGTTACTGTTTGTTTGATTTGTACAAAATTTTCAGGGTATACTAACAAATATACGGTCTTTCAGAGCAAATTTTTTATTTAATTAAAAATAAAGTGTTTTGTCGAGCATTTTTTATTATTAAATAACCCTTGAACACGTAAACAGGATATAAGTTTAAGTATTTGATACAAAATGTTATAAAGATTGGTAAAGGCGTTATAGAGTTAGAATTTTGTTTACTTGTTATGCGTTAATTTTGACGCGCAGTTTAATTATCTAAGTTTATTTATTTTGTACATAAGTCATATATTTATGATATTTATTTTTATTAATAAGATAACATGCGTTTGAGTTTTAATGTTAAATATAATTAGTTTTGTCAATATAAGTAATATTTATTAATTTTAGTGTATAGAAAACTTTATAACCTACTCGAAGTATATAATTTTGCAATATAAATTAAAGAGACAAAGAAAATATAAATTAAATTAAATTAAATGTTTAGAAATAGAGAACAAGCTACTTTAAGTATATTAATCTACAAAGAAATGTAAACTATTTTTGTATTTTTTTGTAATTTTTAAACTTCAGGAGGTTTGGGCACGATATTAGGTGCCATGAGAAAAAGTTAAAAAATCTAGGTTGTAGTAGTTTACTTAAAAGATATTTACAAAGTTTTAGAAAGATTGATCGTCTGGTTTCCGAGTAAAAAATTATTTGCTAAGACTACACGGGATGTTATCGTTTATTATTGCTAAACTGTGTTGTAAATTTAAACAAAATTTTAAGTGCCTACGAGAATCAAATTCATCCATTTCTTATTGTCCTCTCTTAAAATTTATTAGTCAAAAATGACTTATTTAATAGTTATTAGTGGCTGCTTTTTCACTTGTATCATGGTTAACCATGGAATACCACCAATTTAACTTCCAATTCTTATGTAAAATTGTCCCCTGAATCCGAAAATACCGTCAAAAATTATGAAAGGGGAGCAGTTTTTGAGATATAGTCAATTCCATATTAAATAGAAATTTGACTATATCTTAAAAACTGTTCTACTTTTTTAACTTTTGACGACATTTTCGGATTCAGGGGACAATTTTACATTAGAATTAATAGCTATTAAATTGGTCATTTTTGACTAATTCATTTTTAGAGAGTCATGTTATGGGTAATTCTACAAAAGTTGGACAACTTGATGTCATCAGTCAATAGAGTAGGTATTTTAATATTTTTTGTAATGTTAATGTTTTAGTATATTACAAAAGATCCAGGTTTTTTTAAATTGTTCACACAATTTTCATGTATTTTTTCAAAAGCACGTTTGTAGAAAAACATAATAAATATTCAAAACATCAGTACCTTGGGGTGTCACAACTCCTGAATCAAATATTTGAGTGATTTTATTTTAAAATATATTCAATTTATCTTAAATTTTTCAATTTCACTACAACCTATAAAACATTAAATAATGTATTTTTCATATTTTATCATAGATTCGAATAATAGCAATTTTTAAAAAATTGATAATCTTTCTACTCACTTTTACCCGTCAGTTCTGTGTCCAATGTTAAAATTCAAAATTCCTGCGAAATATTAAAGTTTAAAACTAAACTAATAAAAAATATCAGTAAAATACTTAATTCCGAATTATAATCTAAAATTTGTATCCCATTCATCAGTACTGTATCGTCAGTTCCATGTTCGATGTTTCGGTTATCTTTTTTTCGCAAACTTCAATTTAAATTCTGCTTTCGCAGAACTTGTTTATTTAATGTCATTATAAACCCATATAAATTTGGTGTGGGTCCCATATCTAATAATTGAGATATCAGTATACCCAAAAGCCACCCGCCGCCACTGATGTGTGGTATTATTTGATTTTAAGATTTTTAATGTATAATAGGTATGCTCATTTGCAATAAATCTTATATTTTCCAATAAATTATGTATTTAATTAGTATCCTGGTATACTCGTCACTTCCCTTGCATTCAAATTTAGAAAACACAGATATTTGAGAAACTGTTTGAAAAAGTGACTGGCCCGGTCTGGAACAGCATATTTGTTATATTATCTATGTTCTAATAACAAAATACTCCTTATACAATATTCGTTAATTAAATAGATCTCCTTTACAGCCCATCTCCTTAATTAATGCATGTCTTCTAACGTGACATTGAAAAATTAATCATTTTTTTTTAATTATATGCCCTTATGCCTGCAGAAGTGTCATATAAATTTTTGTTAACATTGACCGCACAGTTTTGCAATAATAAATAATAATGTTGACTAAATTATCAATTTATAAATTGACCAAACCGCCAATTTTTTTATGTTTTAATACTATTATCAATTAACTGTGTGGAATAATTTAACAAGGGTTTTTACTTACCAATAATGCGTATATCCTTCTGGTCGCATAGAACCTATAAGTATAATCAATATTAAAATAAATCAATAGAAAACTAAACATGTTTAAGTTGACCACTTCTATTGTGCTACTATTTTTAACATTATGGTATGTATTACTATATTTTATAACTAAATTTAATATAAAATTTATAGCATGATACAAAAACGATTTTTGCGATTTTTTTTGTATATCTGATTTTTGTCCAACCAACCAACTAAAATTTGTTTGTTTAGTTTGTTAGAATCCGCAGACAGCAAAAAAAACACATTTGCGATCCAATGGCCTGTAGGTGTATGCAGGGGTGCCAACAAACCAACATCGAAATGCAACATCCCTAAAATAAACACCTGGACAATCCATGGCTTGTGGCCTTCGACAAGGAAAACCCCATTTAATATCGATCCTTTATTATCAATACGCAAAAAATTGGACGCCCTTTGGCCTGATGTCACAAGCAACAATAATCCTAGATTTTGGTCGCACGAATGGGTAAACCACGGCGTTTACTACAATCATATGTTGGAATACTTTAAGAAGAACCTAAAGCTGATCGAGGACTATCAACTTTTCCAGATACTTCAGAGAGGCGGTATCACCCCAAGCAACACCAAAACCTACACTCTTGCGCAGGTGAACAAAGCAGTTTTTCGCAAGGTGGACAAAAAAGTCAATGTTAGGTGCGCAGACAACAATAACAAGCTTTTGCAGGAAATCAGGATTTGCTTGGACGACCAGTATACAGCCACTGTTGATTGTGATGGCACATCCAACTGCAATCCAGATAAGGTTTATTGATTGTTGATTGTGATGGCACATCCAACTGCAATCCAGATAAGGTTTATTATTACAAAAGTTAGTTAGTTAACTTTATATTACAACTATTTAAACAAATTATTTGTGTTATAACCATTTAGTTCAGGTTTTATGTTTTATCCATTCAAAATATTTCCAATTTTAAATAATTACAATATGTAATACGGTTTAATATTAAAAATATATCATATTAAATATTTTAGTCTAGCAGATATTATTTTTTTATTTATTTTTCACAAGATGAATGTTAAAATCAAAACTTTTGAAAACATGTTAAATTTAAAACAAGATACTAAAGTATAATATAATAATAGTATATTATTATACGAGAGATAATGCAGACTCAAATCATCCGAGTAAATAAAGCTCATAATCTCGAGTCTAAAATTATACTTTATCTACTCTAATGAGTAGATCATTATATGTGACCTGGACTATAGAAAGGTACCTATGGTCGGAAGAATCAATTAATGTTTTTTGATCAATATTTATTATTGTAAATAGATCAAGAATTGCATTTTTTGATCTTTTATTTTCGTCAATATCCTGAAGAGACATCGAAAGACGAATCTGGTACGTCATTTTCTATATCACTAGCACCTGCACCTCCACCTTGATCTTCGTAATCTTCATCACAATCCGCAAAATATTGTTTCTCCTCTGCTTTAAATTCTTTTTCTAAATCCATCCTGCATTTTCACAAACTAAAACAATTTTAAATTAGCTGCATAAGAACGAAAAACCACGATCTCGAAAATACAATGATAAAAAAAGCAGCACGTATTATTCCGACTTTATCAACGTTCACAAAATTAGCTATTTAGGGGAAATCACTTGAATAAGGTACAAAAATATTTATTGTAAAAGCACCACTGTATAATGGAAGTTTAAAGAGAGGTGGAGAGCCAAGGGCAAATACAAACGCTACAGTTATTCTAGATGTCCTGGAGTTTCATAAAACGTGAGTCGGATGCCGTTGCGAGGTGTTTCATATAATTAAAAATACAAATGTTTGTTTAAAAAAAGAGAAAATTTTTATATTTTTAGTTAGATGGATATAGTACTCGATGTGAATAAATAAAGTTTATAACACAAAAAAAATGTTGCTCAAAATATTGTACGTACCTTGATTGACGATATCCATACCAACTTTTTCCACCAAATTCACTTTTAATAAGAAACAACACGGCAAAAATTTGTGTTTTTGTGGAGTTGTGAATGAAGACGTACGATTTAAGGGCGAGCTAAGTTCTAGCTGTTGGTACCTCGGACTGGGATGGCCAATTCAGGTAGCAACTACACCAAAAGATAGCCATAAACAAAGTTTAACAAAATTGAGTTTTGGCCACGTTTTAGTTCAAAATACCTGTCTGTGCGCTGGTGGCTTGATCAGACCTTATTTCTTTAAAAATGAGGCTGCAGTTAAGGTAACAGTCAATAGGGAACGTTACCTGAGCACGATAAACGAATATTTCTTTTAAAATATGGATGGCATTAATCCGGACGAGGTGTGGTGGATACAGCCGGATGGCGCTAAGTTCATTTTTGTGGTTTTTATTTATGTTTAATATGCATTACAATTAAAATATATAACATTATATTGAAAATGTCTACTCTTATTTCGTTTATGGTTCTAACACATGGTGACACCCTTTAAATTAAAAATATAAAACTATTTAAATTACATTTGTGTGTAAACAAATATTTACATTAAAAAAATCACTCAACATGACCTTGTGAATCACGGGCCGTGATGTATCATACCAAAATCAAGCGAAAAATCCTCATTGCATGTTTGCCAACAATACGCGCCAAATTGGCCCAACTTTATAAGGAACAACCACACAGGATCTTTTGGCGCACGAGTAAAAAAACACGAAGAACTATAACTGGAATACTTAAAAAAAAGAAGCTGGAACTATCAAATTTATGATAAACTTCAGAGGAGTCGTATAACTACAAATACCATTTATTTATTTTTAACCAATAACTTCACTTGTTACACAATATACTAAATGTCGTGGATAAAATTACAATTACTAAATATTGACCAGTATAAGAAATTATGAGCCTTTCTGTAGGCACGTTAAATATTTAAAACTTTTGTTTATATAATATTCCCTTTAATTTCCATATCGTATGTTTGACGCAAGCGATATATATGAATATTGCATTTAATTTTTATAATTTTTTATGTTATGCACAAACATAGCTAAAATATATTTCAAATTGTTTACCTACTTTTATTAAAATTAATACAGTTAATAGAAAATCTATAATCACAAAAACGTATACGTTTATATTTTATTAGTAATTTTGTAATCCATTTAATTTTTCTTCGATTTGTTTATCGATTTATTTACATTGTAGAAATACTTATATCTACTAATTTTAAAACGGTAATCTTCATAGATAACGCGTGTAAATATTTACACCTATAAGTATTGCAATTACAATTAAAATATACAATAAATAAATAAGATGTTTAAGCTGACCACTTTTATCCTGTACTTGGTATTAACCTTATGGTGAGTATAAAAATTTTTAAATCAAGATTTTGAATAAAAAACTATTTGGGGCAAAATATCTTTGACTATAATTGAAAAGCATATATCACTTGTAGATTTTAAAGTCAGTTTTATACTCGTAGATGCGAAACGCGAATTGCGAATTACGAATATTCGCCATGCTATTTTAAGTATTTAAATGGTAAAGTTAGTTAAAGTGACTATAAAGGTAAAATAATTAATATTAATGTTCCTCAACAAACTCTTTGTCCATTATAAAAAACAAAAGAAACTCTTAACATTTATTTAAACAGTTTGAATAAAACTCGACAAAACAAACACTATGATACAAACGAAATAAACATATATTTATAATATTTTATCAATCTCAAGATTCCCGCCCATTAGATTTTAAATCTTGCGAATTCGCAGGATCTTTTAAAACACTTTTCCCGCCAAATTCGCAACTGTATGAAGCCGACTTAAGTCCCCGAAAAAACTAATAATTATCTTTCTACTTTGTTTAGTCTGTTAGAAACCTCCTATGGTCAAAACACGTTCGCAATCCAGTGGCCTGTGGGGGTGTGCAAGAGTGCAAACAAACAAACATCGCAATGCAACATCCCTAGAAGAAACACGTGGACGATTCACGGCCTGTGGCCACCAGTGACGAAAACCCCAACGTCAGTCGCATTTAGCGTCAACCCGTTAGCAACAATAAGAGCTCAATTGAACGCTCTCTGGCCCGATGTTACCGGAAACAAAAACCCCGGATTTTGGTCGCACGAGTGGGGAAAACACGGCGTTTACTACCAATTCAAAACCCAGAATCAACTTCTGGAATTCTTCACGACGAACCTAAACCTGATCAACGGCTATCAGCTTTATACGGTACTGCAACGAGGTGGCATCACCCCTAGCAACACCAAAACCTACACTCTTGCGCAGGTGAACAGCGCAGTTTCCGGTGCCGTTCGCGCAAATGTCAATGTGAGGTGCGCAAACAACAATTTAAATGTTTTGCAGGAAATAAGGGTTTGCTTTGATGCCCAGTATACGACTACCGTTAATTGTGGAGGAAAATCCAACTGCGGAGCTCAGGTTTATTATTACGCCAGTTAAAGTTTTTGAACATCAGTAAATATTATGCTATTACCATAGTAAAATAAATAAGATCAACAATCAGTAAAAAACTTAAAATTTTACTGATTACTTACTACTGATTCATTTTAAAAGAGTATGCTTTCAGAAGTTTAGAGTTTATTAGCGCGAAGAGTCTTCACTGAAGACAATTTTATTGTTAACAACACTTTAAAAAATTAAAAAGTTCAAAAAAATTTAGGTTTTCTTGTAAAAAATAAATTTTGTAGAAAAAACATAATATACAATTGTATTAATGCATTCCTGAAAGTCACATCTCTCGAGAGATAGTCCTTCCTCCTCTCCATCGTCACTATTTTCCTTTTCTACTGCTTCATTGACTGCAGATCTTGTTAAAATGCTTTTGTAATGTTCTTGTTTAGCTTTTTTGCCAGTCATTTCCAAAAGGCGCTTAATTTTATTTGCATTTAGTAAGTTTTTGTTATTCAATAGATTTAGCGATGTTTAAATATCACTTCAAATCAAATCAAATCAAATCATTTATTGGTGTTATTTACAAAGTTGTATTACACAAGTACATATAATATAGATTTAGAGGATTTTAAATCTAACCTAGGATTTATATAGTGATTTAAACCCAGTGGCGTGCAGGACGGGCCCCGCAGGGCCCGCGGTGCGGGGGGGGCCCCCGACCTTAGGGGGGCCCCGTAGAGAACCACATTGGGCGGTTTAAGTGACAAAGGGGCCCCAGCTCAAAATTTGCGGGGGGGCCCCGATCACCTTTGCACGCTACTGTTTAAACCAGGATTAAGCTGGTTTTAAGATAACATACCAAGTTAGATTTTTAATAAAAGTGGATTAAGTGGGTTTTGGAACCCAATTAATCGATAAGGTTTTGTTCAACAGTGTATAGTTCCGCAAGTCTTAATATACATAAACACCTCACTGACTAGGACTAAAGTGCAAAGTGTCACCCCTGCCACCTACCTAAACAGGTGGGAAATTTAAATCAATCACGAGGAAAAAGCGGATATCTGCGAAATTCGGATAAATATTTTAATATTTGCACACAGCTATTCGCAATACTAAAATCTCGTAATTTCTAAATTCACCAAGCCTGCCAAGGCTTCGGGTTTATACCTATCAGTGGCGGCTCGTCAGGGTAGGCCTCTGAGGCCGCGCCTCACCCTTAAAATGAAGGAACGAACGACTTTTTGTATTTATATTTTTGCCTATTACAAGTGTATTTTTACAACAGTTCTACCCAATAAAAAGTAAAAAACCAATCAATAATATTAAGCGTAAATAAAAATCCAGGCGCAAAGCGCGTCAAGTTAACTTGCATGCATCGTTGAGAGTCGCTTGTTGTATGTATCTTGGCTTGGACAGAGGCGAAATTTTCACAGCCTCGGAAGCTCCCATTTACGTCTTGAAAGCGAAAATGATTCACCAACAAAAATATCGCCGTAAGTTCGCGAATAAACACCGTAGATGAGGCGTAATTAAGTTAGCTTGGTTTGTTCTGATTGGTAGTCCGTTTATGGTGGGATGCCAGCGGAGACAAAGAAGTTTGCCAGTCTTCTCTTAGCGTTTGTAGAGCACGTTATTGTTTTGATTCAGATTAAATTATTTAAAACTTTTGGCTGATCTTTTATAGTTTTTGTCTCGATTAGTAAAATTTCTTATTTAATTATTGTAGGGAACACACTAAGGTAGATTTAGCAGTTTTTATTAAGCAAATTTTATATTTTGAAATAATAGATTGCATAATTCTTCAATTAGAGACGCGGTTTGAAAATTTAGAATTACTTTTAAATCTCACTGCATGCAGACCAACAATTTTACGACAAAATAATAGATAAATTTTCAATCTTAAAAGATAGACGTATAGTATTTTATATTTTTTAATACTTAGGTTTGGGTCGACTTTTTAGTTTTATTTTTATTTTTTGATTAATTTATTTATTTTTAACTTTTTTAAGACTATTTTTTAAGTTTAAGATTAAAACTAGTCTTTGATGTGATATTTTGTTTGTTTTGTTTTTTAGAGTTTATTTTTTGGTTTAGTAGTGCTATCGGCTTCATTTTAAAAAAGGTCAACGCGTCGGAGAATAATACCTCCCGGGTGACGTGGAAATTTATTCGTATTTAGACAAAATTAACCTTATGTAGCCTCACCCTCCTGTACACCCACGAGCCGCCACTGATACCTATCACATAAAAAAACAACAAAAACATTAAAAGAGGTGAGCAATATCTTAATAGACCAAAGAATACCTAATACCTATTCAGCAAAGCAAGTTGGACTTAAAATTAAAAACAAACATTGGACCAAAGGACGTCACTTAAAAGTACTAATAAACCCATAAATCTTAAGTAGGTTAACACTTAACCAAATTCTGATCTTTACCTAACATAAACATAATAAACCACTCGACACCCAAACTATTGAACAAAAGTAGTAGCCCTCTGCGTGCCAGAACAGTTATAATAATTATAACTGTTCTGGAACGCAGGTAATGCTGTGCAGTTGCAGAATACTTATGAGAACTGAAAGTTGGTAATAATAACTCTGGGAGATCAGTGTAACGCGATGCCGATGTGGCCAGCCATAAGTTTTTATACTCATACTCACTCGCAAACTTCAGATCCAAAATTTATAACACGATGAAAAGAAATTGATGAAAAAAGAACTATAAAAAATAATGATCTTTTACCTTAGTGTATTTGATAAACTTTTATATGGGTTAACCGTATTCATAATGGAATAATTGATATTTATGTAATCAAATTTGCTTAAACCATCATTAAAAACAGTGACTTCAGCTCAAATCAGTAAGTAAGATTAAAAGAAAATCTAAAACTAAAACCAGTTTTTTTTCGCTGATTTTTTAACATTTTAATATAAAAGTTATATTATTGTCAGCTTATTTTATTTATAAACAATAGCAATAGTTACTTAATAAAAAATCCCAAACCGCAAATTTCTATTATTTAAAATAATCTTTATCAATAAACTCAATATGTGTAATAATTTTACAAGGGTTTTTATTCACCAATAATACGTAAATCCTTCTGGTCGCATGGAACTATAAATACTATAATCAATTAAAATAAATAGATACAAAAATAAAAATGTTTAAATTGACCACTTCTATTGTGCTACTGTTTTTAACATTATGGTAAGTATTACTCTATTCTATATAGCTAAATATATTAAATAAATTTAATATAAAATTTATAGCATGATACATTTCATTTTACGTAATAGAAACAGAAACTGTACCGAGGTCGTGTGATCTGACGATCTTGTAAAGCTGATTTTGCTAAATAATGATAATACAAAAAATAATATATAGGTACCGTATTTTTATATGAAATATATACACTCGAGTGAACCTGAACGCTCCACCCCAGAAGCCCCCCCCCAGATGCCTTGTAAGCGGGTTGCCGTAGGCGACGATTCAGTTATGTTTTGCATTTGCTAGTTATTCATTTATTTTATTTAAAATTATAGTTAAGTTATAATGTCATACACATTGCAAAAGAAAATTGACATGATAAGCTGGTCTTTAGTTGACAATTTTCTACGTCAAACAAAACACCTATTCTCAGTTAAATATTCGGATCGTTCTATTCCGTCAATTAATTAATTTGTTTATTTACATTTATTTTAAGAAGTTTGATTTTTAGGTTTGTTTTAAGAGAATTTGATTTATTTTTTTTATTTGTTTTCTAGAAAATTACATATTTTATTTTAATTTTTAAAGAGATTTTTTTTTGTTTAAACGTTTTTTTTTTAAGAAAACAATTTTAGCTAAATGCAAAATAATGATTTAAACCTTTAATTAATAATTTATTGTTACCGATAACGTTACATTTTAAGTATCTGAATCATTTTTAAAAGTAAATTAACTTAATAATGCGTAATTCGTATTAATAATCCAGAGCAAACTTCGACTACCACCCAACGCCAGTGAAGGGTCTACTGCTGAATAACGAAAACCTTCTCTCGGCGTCTCTCACTCTTAAAAATTATTCTCCTAATCTTAAAAACCTAATTATTTACCCAACCATGGTTGCTGCAGCAACTAAATTTGTATGTTTAGTTTGTTAGAATCCGCAGACAGCCAAAGAAACACATTTGCGATCCAATGGCCTGTAGGTGTGTGCAGGGGTGCCAACAGACAAACATCGCAATGCAACATCCCTAGAAGAAACACCTGGACAATCCATGGCTTGTGGCCTTCGGAAACGACAACCCCATCGGCAGTAGCATTTAGCGCCAACCCGTTAGCAACAATACGCGCCCAATTGAACGCCCTTTGGCCTGACGTCACACGCAACAACAATCCTGGATTTTGGTCGCACGAATGGGGAAACCACGGCGTTTACTACCAATTTAACACCAACGATCATCTATTGGAATACTTTACGATGAACCTAAATCTGATCAACGGCTATCCACTTTTCCAGATACTTCAGAGAGGCGGTATCACCCCAAGCAACACCAACACGTACACTCTTGCGCAGGTGAACAGCGCAGTTTCCCGAGCTGTGGGCAAAAATGTCAACGTTAGATGCGCAAACAACAATGACGAGCTTTTGCAGGAAGTCAGGATTTGCTTCAACGCCCACTATACAGCCACTGTTAATTGTGGTGGCAGATCCAATTGCAATCCAAATGCGATTTATTACTACGCCAGTTAGTTTTAAAAAATTTAAAAAAATTATTTGTATATGGGTTCTTTTCAAGAAACACCCGCTTTCAGGAAAATGAAGATCAAATTTTTTTTTGCTTAAATTGACTTTTGGTTGGATTTTTATAAATGTTTAGAGTTTTGTTTACTTACATTTATGACAGGCAGTGCACTTTTTAATTTTTTTACGTTTTTTTCAGAAAAATGTGTTTAGCTAGCTTTATATATCTCCACTGTGTTACCAATTTGAAATCCAAAATTTAATTCAATAAAAAAAGTTGTGATAAAAATAATTTGAAATAAAATGTAGGTACTTAGTTCACAAACTTTTTTATTTTATTTTTTATTAAAAATTGTATGTTTTTTTAAATATGTATGTTCGTTAAGTTACTTTTTAAAAGAAACCATTTCGATGCTTTGTTAAAAAAACAATACAATTAATATTTTCTTTTAGTCACTGATTTAGTGAGTTAAACTCTAATTTATAAACACGTATTACCAAGTGATAGTGTATAAAAATCATTTTAAGTATTTTTTTTAACAAAAAAAAGTAACGAAATAGACATTGGTATCACAACGGACTGGGGTACACAAAGGACTTCAGATAGGAAGGAATCAGATAACGTAAAAAAGAAACTATAAAGGGTGGTACGATTTTAGAGTAATGCATAAACAAAATCCCTTGTAGTGGTGCTCACTTGCAGAATAACAACTTACTCTCTAAAAATGAATTAGTCAAAAATGACTAATTTGATAGTTATAAGTGGCTGCTTTTTCACTTGTACCATGGTATCCAAAAATTTAACAGTCAATTATTATGTAAAATTGTCCCCTGAATCCGAAAATACCGTCAAAAAGTATGAACGTGGAGTAGTTTTTGAAATATAGTCAATTCCATATTAAATGGAAAATTGACTATATCAAAAACTGTTTCACTTTTTTAACTTTTGACATTTTCGTATTCAGGGGACAATTTTACATAAGAATTGGCTGTTAAATTTTTGGATACCATGGTATTCCATGGTTAACCATGGTACAAGTGAAAAAGCAGCCACTTATAACTATCAAATTAGTCATTTTTGACTAATTCATTTTTAGAGAGTAGATTTCTAAATTGTAGACACCCTTTTTCTTTGACTATAAGCTGGTGAAGGTCCCTTTTAATACTTGTATATTGCGTGGAATTTTCCGGATGTAATCTATATCATGAGTTGTAATCACAAATAATTTTAAATTGGTTTATCATAAACTACTTTTTAAAAGCGACGGCAAATATCCACTTTGTTGTAAAAAAATTCTATTGCGTTACCCTAAATTCCATTGCGTTACCATAAGGTAACATAATGGACTCGGTAACGCAGTGGAAAAAGTTTTGTGAAACCATATTTAAAAAATAATAATAAGACAGTACAGTCATTAATTACCCTCAATGAGCTTTAGTGCCCTAAAATAAACATAAACATGAAAAATAGTATTATTTCTTACCTTATTTTTATTATTTTTTTGAGTAACTTAGCGGACAAACAATTATTACATTAGCGTTACCCGCACCTGTTTCGATATCTTCTTCCTGATTGAATAAATAAATTCAGCTGGGTAATGTGTATGTACGTCCGAACATCATTTGTTGATCACGTGAGTGCCAAAAAAGTTGCCATATATATGTTTTTTTTAATATTCTATCGGTAACGCGACGGACGTATCGCAACGGAAAAAATGTCTGGGACATAAGTCAAATTTAAAAAAAGTACCGTAAACACGGGTGACTTTGCACCCCGCGGGTGACTTTAGCCCATTTATGAAAAATCTTTTCGCGCTCGATAAAATTAACATTTATAACACTGTGCGACAAATTTTGACAATTTGAACTGGGATGAAATGTGGAAAAATCTAATCTATGCAACCCCCAAAACTAATCTTTAAAGGGGTTTTGCTAGTTTAGCTCGAATAATGGAGATATATAAAATCCCTTAGAACTTAAAAAATATGAATTTTATAGAAAAATGCTCGGACACGTCGATTTTTATTTTATATGACGCAATTTTCAGTTGATTTTGAAATTGTAAAATTTTCCCCTGAATCAGAAAATACCGTCAAAATTTAAAAAAGTAGAACAGTTTTTGAGATATAGTCAATTCCATATTAAATGGAAAATTAACTGTTCCACTTTTTTAACTTTTGACGACTTTTTCGGATTCAGGAGAAAATTTTACATAAGAATTGGCTGTTAAATTTTGGGATTCCATTTGGTATTCCATGGTTAACCATGGCACAAGTGAAAAAGCAGCCACTATAGTAACTATTAAATTAGTTACTTTTGATTTTTAGAGAGTACATTACCTGTTATTTAAGGTATAACAAAGGGTCGGTTTTCTTAAAAAAAAAAAAGTGGGGTGGCTGGGGGTGAATCTGTGAAAAAATAAAAATTTCAAAATCAACTGAAAATTGCGTCATATAAAATTAAAATCGACGTGTCCGAGCATTTTTCTATAAAATTCATATTTTTTAAGTTCTAGGGGCTTTTATATATCTCCATTATTCGAGCTAAACTGGTAAAACCCCTTAAAGGATTTGTTTTGGGGGTTGCCTAGATTCGATTTTTTCAGATTTGATCCCAGTTCATTTTTTGTGTTGCACAGTGTAATTTGTTGGTCTAAACCTATCAATTGAGCGATTCTATTGAGTTTATATTACAGGAAAATCAGTGTTTTAAAAAAATAAATGGGATTTATTACACTAAAATTGTATACAATACAATTGTATATTGCATTAGTGCAAAACTCTTAAAAATGCATGCGTTTCAATTTCTATATTATGCACAATTCTTTGGAATGATGATCCTTGGTTAACTACAGGTCGATTTTTTATTGTTTTTATCGGTATCCCCTTGCAATTGCTATATGTCGCTGCTAACATAATATTATGTTTAATAAAAATAAAATATTGAGTTAATTTTATACGGAAAATACACTGTGAGACAAAGTAACCCGCAACCAGGTGGTAACTTTGCACACCCAGTTTTTAATTTTTGAAACTCAGCCCTATGTAAGATTATAACATAGTTATTATGAAAGAGCAACTCAAGACTCAAATTTTGGTATACAATATTTAATGTTTATGATCGTTAAAACTACAAAAATGTTAAGATTAAGTTTGAAAGTGAGCTAAAGCCACCCGTGTTTACGGTAGTGTAAAATTAATTATTTTATATATAAATTGTTTACTATATTAACTAAGGATGTTATGGATTGCTATAAAGCAACACAAAGTTCTGATTATTCAATATTTAAAAAAAAACAATCTGAAATAACTAAACAAACATTTTCTGAAAGAGTTTACTAAGGGCTTGTTAGGCTTTCACTTGGTTGTTAAATCAATAAGATCCGATAATTTTTAACAAAGTTGTTGGAATTCAAATTTGAAGTTAACTTACGGACAGCGGAAGGCGGGTGTTTTTTAAAAACGACCCATATCCTATAGGATAAAGGTTAATACGAATTGTTTTTAGTCTTTCGAATTTAAAAAAAAGTATCAGGATAAGAAGTTATGAGCCTGTAATAATATTCGCTTTAATTTCAATATTTCCATATGCAAGCGATATAATATGAATAATGCATTTAATTTTTATAATGTTTTGTTATGCATTTGGTATACAAACAAAACAGCTACAGTATGTTTAAAACTGTTTACCTACATTTTAATTTATTAATACAGAAAATCTTTAACCACAAATACGCAGGTAAACGTTTATATTGTAGTAGTAATTTTGTATTCCATTTAATTTGTTATAATTTTAGCGATTTATTTAAATTATATAAATACTTATATCAACAAATTTTTGAACGCCATAGATAACGCATGTAAATATTTACACCTTTAAATATTGCAAATAGCAATTAAAATATACAATAAATAAAGAAAATGTTCAAGCTGACCACTTTTATCCTGTTCTTGACATTAACCTTATGGTGAGTATTTAATAATACTATAATTTAAATCATGATTGTATTTGATTAAAAAACTCCGCCTAGAAAGTGCTATGGTTAAGGCCCCTCCCGGAACTTTTTCGCCGGGCCGGGCCATACGCCCGATTTAGGCCAGTGGAGTCCTGGACAAGGAGGAAAAACATTGAACTGGCCCAAAAACTAAGTAAACCAGGGATTTAGTAATATCCCCACTTAATTGGGGTTCATGAATGGGGTTTGGGTGGTTAGTTCGCTGCTTGGACCTATCCTTGATGGTCTCAAGGTACCATCTGTTCGTTTGCGCCAGTGTCTGCTGAAAATTACTGCATTGAAAGTTCAGAGATTGCAGTCCGCATTTGTTTGCCCCACTGTGTGAAACCTTTTCTTCAGTCTAGGGTAGAGAACCATCGACAGATCGTTTTTGGTAGTCGGAAATGTTAAGTTAACAATAGTTTTTTTAGTTTATAACGAATTTTGCGAAAATTACCTGTAAAGGAAAGTTAGTAAATACAAATTATTTGTCTCACTGTGCGTAAGCCTTAGCTTTATTTCAGTAAAGACTTATTAAAAATAGTGGTGTGTTGGCATGTTTATTGTTGATGTTTGGGTGGACTTTTTATTTATGTTAACGTCTATTGCCTATCACGGCTGTTGTTTAGTTTTGGTTTTGTACCGATTTATACAAATAATTACTTTTGCTGTCCTGTAGGAATTCTCTTTTTCTAGTTTGGCCGTTTTGTTTTTCTGGTTTAGATGCTTTGAAGACGCTTAACCTCTTCGAGAAAATGCAAGATTACTTTCTTAGTAGAGAATGCAAATTAAATCATGCGAATTAAAGCTATTGAACTTATCTTTTGTTGCAACTTTCTATTGTCCACTTGACCCTCTCTTTGGTTCCTTCGGGATACTGGTACATTGAGTTCACCTGTACATATAGTGTAACTGAATTCTTACAAGGTTTACTTGTTGTATTGCACTGCACTACTTTATTAGCGCTTTGCTGAATCTGTAAGACATCACCCCTACTAACTACACTGTGACTGATTTATTATTAATGATAGGCTTTTATTACTTCCTTACTCTTTAGAAGCGATCGCATACGTGTTTGCATCTTATGATGTCTTAAGACGTAGGTACTGCCTTATTGTAAAGATTATAGAAATGTAGAATATTATTTACAGGGTCGCAAAGCTTAAGATCAAAAATCATAACACACTGATAAAAAAAGGATTATAAAATTTACATTGATAAACTTTTTTAATGG